GAGTGGTATTCCGGGGAGATTTGCTGTGGTTTCTTCGGGAAGGACCCAAAACACAAGGTATTGTATGCATGAGTACTTCAGAGTTTTGGAATGAAGGCTTCACTAGAAAGGGGATTATAGAGAAAAGAATTTTTGTACGAATCTGGTATTGTGAGGGTCGAATTGAATCAAGTTATATGATAATGTCGGACTACTCGGAATAAGAGGCATTAGACTTAGATCATAAACGATGTTACAAACAAAACACAACATTGCAACTTTTAGTAAAGTTTCAGCACTGTAGATTAACTACAAGACTACTGCTATGAACATGGTATACTACAAAAAGCAAGTATATACAGCACGAGGGCCCCTTGACTGACGGGATCCCACAAAAGATAAGACTCGAATTGCAAGTGTTTTTTTTTAACAGTTTATGAGTCTATTACAACGAAACGCCTTAATTACTTTAACGTGGGTCTAGAGTAGTCTCTCCTGCGACAGTGATCCTTAGTATCTTCCCATCTGTGTCTGAGTTCTTTGTTATTGGACAATCCTTCTTGAGGTGTCCTATCTCACCGCATTGGTGACATATCTGTCCTGTACCAACATCGGTGGTGGAAGTGATGTGTCGGGTCGGAGTTATGGGGACACGGTTGCTTTCGTTGTTCCTCCTTTTAAAGTTTCCGATTTCACTGCAACCATAGCAAGCCGGGTTAACTCCGATGTCAGGGAATTAAGTGATGGGTCATGCCAGTGCTCCACAGCTACGAGCATGGTGCCCTATTTTGTGGTAATTGCAGCATTGCATTTCATGGCAAGCCCCATTATCATGAAAGCCACACTTGTTACACTTCGGGATTTTTCCCTCGTATGGTCTGATCGGTGCTGAAATGGAAGGGATTGCCACTTGTTGCTGTTGCATGGCAAGTCCTTGGGATCGCTTGCACTCCTTTTAGGCTTAACGCTTTCATTTCCTATTCTCAATTTTATGGCTTTGCAAGTCTAGGACTGTTATCATTTGTTGGCTTCACGGGTCAATAACACAATAAGAATTTTCAACCCCCTTGCTAGCTTTGCTTGCGTTGTTAGCTCTGAGGTTTGCAAGGACAGTAGACATTGCAGCTGTTACCGCGACTTGGAATGTAGCGGTGTCGATATGAAGGATAGGGGTTTCATTGTTTGTCTGACTATTTTTGGATGACGACATGATTATGTTATAGGAGAGAAAATCAGTTTGTGAGTGATTATGGTTGAACCTAGATGTATTTTGATCATTCATGTAAAGACTAGAAGTAAGTTCTCGAGGGTCTGGCCTACATCCCTATGATGCAGTCCTAGTAAATAGTAGAAGTAAGTTCCTAGAATGATCACAAGACATTTTTCATCCAAACTAGAGTATCACTGGTTGGTGGATAACATGATCCAAATTTTAAAATAGAATTGGACATGATACCAGAGCTAAATTACCATAGTCCATGAGCTTGACTAGAGTGAGTTTCATCAATCGTAATACTTTTATTTTTGTCACTATGACACTGATTTTAGTATGAATGCAGACATGTATACTTAGTTAAATATTTTATTATTTAAAAGTATAAACTCTTGGTTAGAGTATTTTAATCCCATTGTATTTATAGTCTATATATCTTTTATAGGTTGATATACTCAATTCACTATAAACAACGCTCTGATACCAATCTGTCACACCCCAAAACTAAAAACGACGTAAACGTACTGGGGCGGACGACGTCATGTAAAGTATCATAACAGTGAACAGTACTAAACAAGCAACAACATCATCCATTGCATTAATAGTAGAATTTTAGTACATGTGTGTTCTTTCATAGAATAAAACACCATAATAAATAATTAAAATAAAAGATGAATATTGACTGCTCTGTCTTCTCAAAACCTAGTCATCGTACCTGTCTATTGGTGACGTGAGAATACAAGTTATTTTGAAAGTGTAGATCAGCATTTAAGCTGGTGAGTTCATAAGTATTTAATGTCAATGTTTGTATAAATTTGAATGAAATTGTTTTTAGATGTTTGAAAACTCCTAGAAAATCCCATATTTCCTACTAGTATAAAAGTAGCCTTCTACCAAGACCTGACTGTTTTGAATGTTTACCTCTAAAAATCCAATATTTATACATAAGTGTGTGGTAGTTTAAAAGTTCCAAAACTGTAATGCAATAGTGTTTTTCATGCCTAGAATAATAGATTTATGTATGTATAAAATCGCTAAGGCATTTGATAGCCCTGTAAATCAACGTGTTCTTAATACTCCATGTGAGTTTTATAACCATGTTATTGACCAAGCCTGCCTGTAACAACGTTCTTCAAGCGTTGGCATGTTATGACTTTTGTCACCATAGACCTGTCGCTCTAACTGTAGCTAACAGTTTAGGTGCGGGATTGACAATCCCGTATAGATCTATACACAAGTATCACGCTCTCCCTACAAGAGATTATGGTATATAGTACAGGACTTTAACGGCATACTTGAAAGTACGTGAAGGTGAATGTCTCAGAAAAAATAGTATCAAATAGATTTACATATGAAAAGTCCACTTGATCTTGTATTTGAAAGTATTTCCTTGATATAGTACTTATAGTATGTAAAATCTCATGATTTCCTTTTAAAACTATACCTATTGTAATTTTTCCAAAAGTGTGTTTCGCTTGTATGGTAATCCCAAATGTAGTGTCGACTTTGTACGTAAAGTTTAACATTTGTAATAACATCATTGAACATTTATACTAAAAATATAAATAAGGTGTTTGATATTTATACAACAACATGTCTCATTTCAAAATGGACAAAGCGTTATCGTGATAACAAAAGTATAGCAAAATATTTATCTTATTCACACCAGGATAATCGTGTGTTTACTTGTATTCCCCCCTTAAAAGTGTATAAAATCATTTACAAGCATTTAAAAACGTAGTTATAGGGGTATGAACTCACTTGATAAGTGGGGAATCAAGTAGCGTCTCATTTTCAAGAAGGATGGTTCTTGACGTAACCACGAGTCTTGGGTGAAGAAACGATTTTCACGCGGGCAATAATTCGACTGGAAAGAGGTTAGTTTCTTAGGAGATTCGGAGCGTTGGGACTCGCGTCATGTGTGAGAGGTGTTACCGGGGCTTTGGGGTGGTTTCGAAGGGTTTAATAGCGTGTACAAGTAAGAGAAAGGATGGAAATTAGCAAGTAAACTCGGATGGATTTGATTTCTATTTATAGGCAAGATTTCAACTCTCACGTCATGATTTTTCATAGCTCACATCGTGAGTTTGGTCCCGCTTCTCTCATGGAATGTGTCACTCATCAACTTGCTCTGGAAGGGTCATTGAAACTGTTCACGTCGTGAGTTTTAAGGCTCACGTCGTGAGTCTTATACATAGACTTGACTTCTGCATTCTAGGCCTAAAAAGTGGTGATTTGACTCCTCACATCGTGAGAAATGATGCTCACATCATGAATTTAGTTAAATTAGGGTTTCTAACATGTGTCCTGCTCTCAGACAACTGTATCTTTAGAAGGCCATAATTTTTGCATACGAGCTTTGTTGTCGATGTTCTTTATATCCACGCGAAGGTGGACACATACTTTACAACTTTCATTAAGATAATTAAGGCTAACAAGGAGTCTATCATAAACTCACTTTTGACACTAAACTACGCTTTGTCGGTTTTGTCGCGGATCTTTGGTTGGTCATAGATTCTTCGTTATAACTTGGATTTTGGTGTTCTTTATATCTATGGAAACCGAGTTACAATCTCTATCACTTTTTTTTATCCTAATTAAGGTTATTGAACAATTTATTTTTGACCTAAATTTTTCTAGTGTTATAGTTTAGGAAAATACTATCATATACAAGTACATATAGAAAATACTATATAAATATACTATGATGAGAACTAAGAGAACTTACTATTTTGAGAGACTATACAAACATACTATGATGAGAAACAAATAAAGAATAGTATAACGAGAAACAATACATGGTAAGATGCTATAGCATACAACAACTATTGGATCTAATTATACCAATGAAGCACTAACTCATTGTTTTAAACAAAAGGTGATAGTTAAATTGGGTATACATGATCATATAACATTAATGTGGATGTACAAGATGCAACCACAAGTTTCCTAATTCATGTTTGGTTCCCAGAATCTTTTGACATGGAGAACATTTAGTACGGGAAGTAGCCATCATATTATACCTTAAACAATCGATTTAAGGCAATAAGTACAACAGTGGTTACTGTAATACCTTTGATGCCTTGGTAGAAGGCTAGTTTTAGTAGAAAATATATGATTTTCTAGGAGATATAACTACTTATACAAACATTTACATAGTACATTTACAAACATTTTCTTCAAACTTATTCAAACATTTACATTGTACATTTATAAACATTTTCTTTAACTTATACTAACATGTACAACAAACATTTACAAACTTATACATCAAACACTTACAAACATTTTCATACAAACAATGACATTAAATACTTATGAACTCACCAGCTTTTATGTTGATAAACTCCTTCAAAATAACTTGTGTTCTCAGGTCGTGAATAGAGAGGTATAGTCGACCATGTTTTGAGAAGACGGAGCATGTTCAAGACCCGTCCTTTATTTTGATTACTTGTTTTAATGTCTTATTGCTATGAAAGAATACTTGTATCATTTATTACTATTAATGCAATGGATGATGTTGTTACTTGTTTACTATTTTGCATTATTATGATACTGTACATGACGTCCTCCACCCCAAACGTCTTCTCCATTCCGTTTTTGGAGTGTGACACATACTTATCTATATCGTTACCTAATATACGAAAGATTACATAGAATAACTACGCTATACACTAACAATGATAAGCTTGATACATTGGTGCAGTCAATATTGTAGACGTTGATGCTGATAGATATTGTAAAGTGTTTGACTCATCAGATCATAAAGGTGTGACCTTACAATCTCCCCTATCTGATGATGTAGAAACTAATCTTCTTCTCTAGAGTCATCAGAAGAGCCATTGTAAACCTTGTCCTCTTCTTTCAAGATCTTAGGGTTGACCCATCTGAGTTGATCAGTTTTAAGTTCATCCAGTCTTCTACTAAGCTCCAAAGATATCAACACGTGATATCCTCTTTCTCTTTCATAGTGACCAAGCCCTTCCAAGCGAAGATGAAACAAATGCTAAGTAAGAGCAGAAGGAAGATTACCATTTCTTTGAAACCACTTTGATTTTGGCTATCAAAATAAAATATCCCATGCTATGGTTCTAGAATTAACATATATTGGACTTGTTCAACACCCAGTGGTAATTCATTATTGATATCCCAAGTTCCATCAGGAAGAAGAAATTCGGTATTATTCGACTGTCTTGGAGAACCTATTCTTCTTTAGGATGATGGTCTAGATGGACCAGGTGATGGTACAAGGCTCAACTTCTTCACTTTGTTGAGAAGTTGTTGAATTGTCGACTTCACTTCTTGAGCATGAATACCCTTGTTGTTTATCGACAGTTTCTTGAATTTGCATCCACTCGTTGTAGCCAATATTGACTAGCTCATAAGCATAAACAACTTCAGTATATTTATATATTCTATTTTCTTTCTAACCAAGTGAACCTTCATGGACTTGTTTATTCGTTTGGTACATCTCACTTTGACAATGGGATCAAGATTTGACCTATGAGCAAGGACATCTCTGAACTTCTTCCTATCAATTCAGTCATTCAGGTCTGAAACAATGTATTGTTTCTCCACATTATTGTTGAATATTTTCTTGACCTGATTATCAATGCTTTAAACATTAAGACTCTCATAAATGGAAGCAAGAGATTGAACAAGTTTGGTAGATAGATGTTCTTCTTTTATTGCTTGTTTCTTTTGTCAAATAGCAGCACTATATTCAAACATGATTTCTCTAACTTCCTCAATAGGTATCCTCCATTTTTCTCCCAATTCATTTAGATCAAAGATAAGTTTGCTTTTCTTTTTATGAGTAGATGCTGATGGATCACTAGCAGCAGCAGCATAAGAGCTTCCAGCTTCAACATCATGATCTCCCCCTAAAAAGGAAGCCTTCCTCTTTCGAGGATTGAGCAGATCATGGTCAGAGCCAATGTCACTATCAGTTCCTTGAGGAATCTATTAAGAAATCTCACCTTCACGATAAGATCTAGGGTAGAAAACATTTAGACGGACAACCGGAACAACAACTTGAGGCATGAAACAAATATCAAGAAACCCTTCAAATTCATCGATCTCTGATTGGTCACTACTATTTGGAATGGGCTGATCAGTTGTTGTATCAGCGTCTGGAATTTCAACAACATCAATTTTCTTTTGAGGATCAGCTTAAGCTTCAACCCTTCTAGTCATCTCAGGTTGAGATGGAATTTGTACAATCATCACCTGCATTTGAATTGGCCAAGGATCCCCTAAATTTGTCTCCTTCTCTTTGGCAGCGTCAGATTGGGTAGGAGAGTTAGGAGGAGGTGAAGGAGTTCTTGGAGAAGGATGAGATGGTAGAAGAGGTGGTGGATGGAGATTTATTGATGAAGGTGGAGGTAAAGGACCATCACCTAGGGATTTTAGTGGAGTATCATCAACAACCATATCATCCTCATCATCATCATCATCAACCAAATCCATAAGTCGCTTCATTGTAAACACATCTCTTTCAACTTTACTCATTATTTATTTAGTGATTGAGTAATCAACACAATTAGAGAATTTTGGGAAAACACATTGGTTTGAAAGTTAGTAGTAGATTCTTCCTAATTATCCTGATGAAATGCAACATTCATGATGTTGGATTAGTGTCTAAGTCCATAACTATATTTGATATATACTTGACCCGAGAGTAGCATGGTCCATTTGGGTTGCATACCATCACGACAATTTGATAGGATGGACTTTTGAGAAGAATTTATTTATGGTTTATTTATATATTATAATTTCTAATATATTAATATGAAATCATATTTTCTAATTAGTGTTGATCAACAATTAATTTGGAATTAATTCTGTGATAAAAAAAGACTAGTTAAATATAAGGGGTTGATTTGGTAAATTATTCATTCATATAACATGGGCTTATGATCCATAGTTCTTTATGTTGAGCTAAACCCATGTGGTAACCCATGGATACTCCATGGGGATTTTTAACCCATGGAGGATGAGGGATATGGAAATTCATTAGGGTTTACATGGTGTAACCCTAGTTTGCCACACTATATAAGAACCCTTCTAGCTCATGAAATTGGCACTTAAGTAGAATACTAGAGGGCTAGCCGATTTATGTGTTCATGGAATCTCTTATCAAGTTATCCTTTGTTCTAGGTGTGTTGTGATTCCATTTGAGGTATTCATACTATTGGTGCTAAGATCTTAAAGCTCCAAGGTTTTCAACAATCTATAAAAAAAGGTATGTCATCTAACTTGTTATATTACCCAAGTATCAAAGTTTTGTATGCTAGTTAGGGTAATACCTTGGAAAGTTCAAGTTTGCATTTGTAATAGAGAAAACATAGATCCAAGGTATTTAGGGTTTCATGTACACCTTAGGAGTGTTAGAATGCTCAAAACCCAACAATGGTATCAGAGCCTAGGCTTATTTTCAATTATATTTGATGCTACTTGTGTTAAATGCTTAAAAAATCATTTTTTTGCTTTCTAGACAGTGGACTCGCTGAGTTCACTAGGGGACTCACCAAGTCTAAGCACAATTCTGACCAACTTGCCAATTTGGGGCATACACTCAATGAGTTGGTGCTCCAGAATGCAGTTTTTTCGATGTTTTTGGCCGGAATTGGACTAGGATCATTACCATAAGCTGTTTTTGAACTTATAAGCCTGTTTTTGATGTGGTAATAATCATGTTTGCCCAATTTATAAGATAGTTGTCAAAGTTTCATGTTTTGTATTAGTTTATTTCGTTAGGCTAATTACATGAAATTTGTTTGATGTGAATTGTTGATCTAAATGTTCTGATGAATTCCATAACTTGTCGTCAAGTTATGGAAAATGAAAAGTATTTATTTTAAAGAGACTATTAAACTTATAGGTTACAAACTTGCAGAGTATTTTTCCATAAATGTTTTTATGAACTCGATAACTTGTCCTCAAGTTATGGATTTTCAAGAGTCTTTTCATTAAAACCTATATAAGTTATGGATTCGAAAAAAATTTTAATTGTTCAAAAATTTCCCTCAAGTTTTGGAATTTGTAAATATAAAAGTCTAACTTTTGAAACATTTAATTCCAAACTCTAGAATTTTAAAGTTTAAAATTCTACCCTTATACTATTATAATATTATAGGTTTAATATTTATATGTATGCATAAGAGAAAACACAATCTTACCATCAGTAGGCCGCATTCACGAAGTCGATCTATAGGGGGGGGGCATAAGGATACGACCTATAAAATGGCAGTTTAATGGGTGTCCAGTCTCACCCACCGCTTCATTGACTGGTGAAGGGTCATTAGCCGAACGGTTAGGATATGATTCTAATTCTCCCTTCATTAAAAATATAATGATAAATACAAAGTAACTAAACACTTATAAATTCTCATATCTTAGTTACTTAGGAAAATGTGAAAATGGTGCTAACCCATGAAATTGCACTTTGCACCTTGTTAACTCGCTAGTGGAGCGTGTGTGGTTAACTGACACACTAATCGGCGTTCATAGTGCATGGAAAAGGGTAGCTTGATGTTAATCATATATCAATGGAGCGTGTGTGGTTAACCTGCACATTTATTAGGTGGTTGTAACATTTTGGTGTACCAAGCTAATTTGCATGGTTATTCACACCTTGTTTGTGATCCTCAGCATCCCATTGAAAAACGTGAAGGGCACAATCGATATTTAAACATGCCATTGAATTGTTCAATGAATCTCTAAGGATCTAGGAGTTTCAATTCACTTCAAACCTAAAATTCTTTTTCTAGTTTTCATGATCAAAATTGGTAAATCGTCATTTACCTACCTTCAAATAGTTTACAGTTTGGATTAAGGTATCCATCTTCCAAATTGTAAAATATTGTGTTGGGTCCTAGGCTTAATATATTCAGACAACTATGGTCTTCCCAAATCCTTTGGAACAAGCTTTCCTCTTGAAGATGATGTCTCGCGGTTGGATTATGGGAGTCATACTTCACTTCCTCCACCTCCTCTAATAATTCTCCCTAACCCATAAGTTCAAAGAATTGAAAAATTCAAGGTCACTCAAGCCCTACTTGCAATGAAACATCATGATGGAAGGTCTGTGTGCACTTACATCTTGGAGATGAATTAACATATTGACAGGCTGAGAGTATTGGGTGTCGTTGTCTCGTGGAAGTTGGGTTTTGACTTGGTTCTTAAATCACTTCCTTAGTCATATAGTGAGTTCATTAAGGACTACTATGTAACCGACCACGACATGACCCTTATTGATCTTACCTATTGTCTTGTTGCTGCTGAATCAACAATGTTGTGGCGCATTGGAAAAGCAAAATTGATTGAAAGATCTACTCCCCAAACTTCCATGGACATTAACAATGGAAACATTGGAAGTCTAGAAAAGATTTTTCATTCCAAGGGAAAAAGAAAGGCTAAGTATGAGATTCTCTCATGTACCATTCCCAAAGAGTCCATATGTTTCTATTGCCAAGAGAAAGGACATTTGTTGCGAAGGTGCCCTAACTACCTTAAAGATATAAGAAAAGGTAGAATCAAAAAGCTTGACTCTGCTTCAGGTAAGTCAACTGTTTAACTCTATTAAGTTCCTACTTACTCATTCTTAATACAGGATGCGACAAGTTTGCATTTTGATGTTTTCTAGGATCACGTAGAGAGAAGGTGTCACAACTAGAAATTTTGTGTCTTGTAATCACTATACTCAAGTAAATGTCGAATTCAAAAACTCAAGAGCATGTATGATGCTTACTCAATGGAAAAACTAAACCTCAACTCACTACATCAAGCAATTGGAAACCCTAGAAGTTCTTGATTAGGTCCATTTTGGACTAGAACTTCCTTATTGGACCCTATGGACCAATAAGCTTCCAATTTAACTATCATGGGCTTAGAACCCTTAAATGGGCTCTAATTGGACCCACATTAATTTAATTCAACATTTTGGGTCATTTTGGGCCTAGAATGAAATGAATTAAAAGCTTTGATCCATGATTAACCTAATCTAGCTTAATAAAGCATAAAAATCACAATTTTATCTTATAAGGCCAATGATCACCCAAACTAACTCTAATATTGGGCTTAGGGGCAAAAAGCCCAAAAATCCTTTCTTCCCTCTCCATTCTTGGTCCAAGCCCAAGGAAAAGGAGAAGTTGACTTTGGATTGCCACCTCACTTTTATTTGATGGGTCTCCATGCATGCAACTCATACTTTCAAGCATCTATCTTGTCAAAGACACTCTCCTCTTTCCTCTCTCCCCCTCTCGGCCGAATCCCAAACACACACACAAACAATTCACTCATCTTTTCTCTCAAGGAACTCTCTCCATTTCTCCCCAAATTTTCGAGATCTAAGAGGTATTCAAGGGAGTTCTTCCACAAAGATCATCATCTAGGTAAGTTGAAACTTGGATCCACACTTTAGACTTCATCTTATTCCCAAAAATCTCTTCTTAACTCATGTGAAATCATAATCTAGTGTCTTAAAACCTCTCAAACTCGAGATCATCAAGAAAAGGTTGCTAGGCCGAAAATCATCGTATTTCCTTTCCATTTCTCCTCCAAAACCGAAACCACATCCAAAGGTGAGCTTCATACTCCCTATCTTTCGGTTTTATAAGTTTTGTGGGGGGGGGGGGGGGGAATGTAACACCGAAAAATACAACCAATTTAAATTTTTCAAAACAACCTGATTTTCATTAAATTGTTTACAAAAAGGTTTTCAATACAAATCATTTAGAGTATTCCCAGAATCACATTGCTATAAAATCATGAGGAGCGGTACAATCGCGCCTTTGCCTTGCCACAGACTCCTGAGAACCTGAAAACATAAAAACCAGAACTGTAAGCCCGAAAGCTTAGTGAGATACCCCCAAAATACCAACCACGTATACGCCCTTCCAGGCCACAACCTTTCGGTCCAAAACATATCACCTTCCGGCCCATAACGTAATGCCTTCCGGCCCATAACACATAGCCTTCCGGCCCATATAATATTGCCTTTCGGCCCGCAAAATAAAAGCATACATATCATGACAGAACATAAAACAACCATGCACATAACATGTAATCATATAACAGTTCACAGTTAGCAAATCGATCAACAGATCACATAACATATCATTACTCTAACCAAGATACCAGCCTAGCCGATCACTAGCATAACATCACCCTACGACTCAACCAACCCACTAATTATGCACGTACGCCTTTCCAGGCCATCACTTTCCAGTCCACATCGTATTGCCTTCCGACCCACAACATGTAATGCCTTCCGGCCCATAACGTAAAGCCTTCCGGCCCATTTCCGCAATATCATACAACAGACAATTACTCGGATTTCCATTCGATAAAAAGGGTCAGCCTTGGTGCCTTAAACCCTATGGATATAGTGAGGATAAGTCACCTTGAATCTGCCGACTGAACAGATAACCCGAACTGCTCCGATCCCTGATACGATCTCCACCACTGGACAGCCACCAATGCACTGAACTCAAAACCATAATCAACAA